TATAGGTATTTATAACTACGCTAGAGATTTGTGCCGTAGAAACAAAGGGATATATACATTCAAAGTCCAAGGACAAATCTATCATTACATCGATGACTTAATCCCAGATTCTTCCCAACCCCACAATCTCCAAATGTACTTTTTTGACACAGATCACCAAATTTCAAACCGTCTGGCAAGCTGCGATAGGTTAGATAAAGAAACTGTGAGCACTATAGTCCAAATTCTAACATCTAATCCATATGCCCAGTTCTTCAAAAGCCTAGGTGATGTATCTTGTGAAACTGAATTTAGCATCACCTTAAATTCAGATGCTAATTTAGATCAGAGAGTCTATAACACCCCTTCTGTTTCTCAAGTAGCTGCACTTTGGATTGATGACTCTTATGAGGATATACCAAGGAAGAGACACATTAGAGTTTATGCTCATAGTGGTCAATCTAAAAACATCCAATATTATTATGGATGTTACGATCCTTTACAATATCCTCTATTGTTTCCCAAAGGTGACATTGGTTGGCATGAAGGCATCGAAAAAGTTAGTCAAAGAGGTGGAATTATCAACCACAACACAACAAGTCTACAATCTGTAACAACAAGTATCAATTTAATAAACAATCTTGATGATCTTATCCAAGAAGAGGAAAGGAACTTTCAACAAAGTCGAAAAAGAAAGACAGTTTCTTGTAGAGAATATTATTCCTACAAGCTTCAAATACGCCCTAGCGATAGGGGTATGTTGTTACACACTGGAAGATTACTGCAACAATTTATTGTTGATATCTACGTAAAAATAGAAACGCAAAGACTAGATTACTATAGGCTTCGCCAACATGAGTTGAGATCAGAGATATACCACGGAATTGTTGATAGTATGAATATCAGAATGGTATATGGTAAAGACGTTGGACGAAGAATCATTTTACCAGCTTCTTTTATAGGTGGACCTCGAGACATGCGAAAACGATATCTCGATGCTATGGCTATAGTTCAACAATTTGGAAAACCTGATATATTCTTAACAATGACTTGCAATCCAAATTGGCCAGAAATAAAAGAAGTACTTCAACATGTTGATGAGGCACAAAATAGACCAGACATAGTTGCTCGAATATTTCACGCTAGATTACAAGAGTTAAAGAATGATATTGTCAAGAAAAAGTTTTTTGGTGAGGTTGCCGCATATATATACGTCATTGAGTTCCAAAAGCGTGGTTTACCACATGCACATTTTCTCATCATATTAACACCTAATTCTAAAATATCTCAACCGAAACTTTGTGATGACTTCATTTCTGCTGAGATACCTTCCAAAGAAAATCAACCACGATTGTACGATCTCGTTAAAAAACACATGATTCATGGACCCTGTGGTTCCCTAAACCTAAAATGTCCTTGTATGATCCAAAAACAAAAACACCTTCCTCTATCTTGCAAAAACAATTACCCTCGTCCTTACTGTACCAAAACTATGTTTGACAAAGATTCATTCCCAATCTATCGCAGACGCCAAAATGATATGGTAGTTGACATCAAAGGAATTTCACTTGACAACTCATGGGTAGTACCCTATAACCCACAATTACTACTCAAATATGATTGTCATATTAATGTAGAGCTATGTGCTACTATAAAGTCTGTGAAGTACTTATATAAGTACGTGTACAAGGGACATGACAGGGTGAGTCTGAGCTTAACGGATTGTGATGGTGGGGGCGAGATAGATGAAATACAAGATTTTCAAAAAGCCCGATGGGTTTCAGCGCCAGAAGCCGCTTGGAGAATATTTTCGTTTCAAATAGCAGAGATGAATCCCTCCGTTTTCCAATTGCAAGTGCACTTGGAAAATTTTCAATACATAAACTTCTGTGGCGGTCAAAAAATTACAACCATACTAAAAGATGATACTCAATCAAGAACCATGTTAACAGAGTACTTTAAAATGAATTCTACAAATGTGGTTGCGAAGACACTCAATCTTTTATATATACAATTTCCGGAATATTTTGTTTGGTCCACCACTACCAGATCTTGGACACAACGTAAAAGCAAACATGTCATTGGCAGAGTTGTAAATGTAAATCCCGCAGACAGTGAGCGTTATTACTTGCGAATTTTGCTTCAAAATGTAAGAGCACCAACCTCATTTGATGATCTAAAAGTAGTTGATGGTTTTAGAACATCTACTTTTAGAGAAGCAGCAGAAAAGTTAGGGCTTTTAACTGGAAACTCATCAATTGAAGCTGGCTTAAGTGAGGCAATTACCTATCAACTACCACAAAGTCTGCGTAATTTGTTTGCAACCATATTGATTTTCTGTACAGTTCCGGATCCGAGAGATTTGTGGCAGAAATTTAAGGCTTACTTATGTGACGACTTCAATAGAACGGGTTTATACAACCAGCAAGAGATTGAATCAATTGTATTACGTTTAATAGGTGAGATCTTAGAGAAATTCGGAAAATCTTTGGATGAATATCAATTGGTCGATTTCGAATTATCTTCATCATCGATGGAAAAGTATAGTCGAGAATTACGAACTGAGTGTTGTATTAAGGTAACAGACACTGATCTTCAAAGTATCACTAAATTCAATGTAGAACAAAAATATGCATTTGAAACAATCATGGAGAGCATATTGAATCAATTAGGAGCAGTTTAATTTGTGGATGGTCCAGGTGGCACAGGAAAAACCTATCTCTATAGAACATTGCTCGCGACTGTAAGATCTAAACAATGGATCGCACTTGCAACAGCAACTTCTGGCATTGCAGCTTCCATTCTTCCAGGTGGTCGTACTGCACACTCCAGATTCAAATTGCCTATAGATGGAGAAAATAAGTGTGTTTGCAATGTTGGAAAACAAAGTGCGGAAGCTCATCTACTTAAACAAGCAAAATTAATTATATGGGATGAGGTCTCCATGGCTCACCGGAAACTTATCGAAGCACTTGACATAACCCTTAGAGATCTAATGGGTTCTGACAACATATTTGGTGGAAAAGTAATTGTATTTGGGGGAGATTTAAGACAAACTCTTCCGGTAGTTCGCTCTGGAAAAAGGAGGACTTCATTGATGCATGCTTAGTGAAATCGTTGACCGTGTGGCCTCAAATTATTCGATTATCACTTGTGCAAAATATGAGGGCTCTAACGGATCCACAATTTTGTGACTATTTAATGAAGGTAGGAAATGGATCACTACAACCAAGCTTAAACAACACAATAAAAATACCATCACATTTCATTGTTTCATGTTCCAAAAATCAAGATCCATTAATGTGTTTAATTGATTCAGTTTATCCCAACCTATTTGTATTTCACCAAGATCCATATTTGTTGATGGGAAGGGCAATTTTAACAACAAAAAATGAATTTGTAGACGAGATCAACACAAATATCATTTCACGCTTCCAAGGAGAGTCCAAAACTTTTTTGAGTTATGATGAACCAATAGATTCAAGATACCTAAATTGCCAAGACTACTTACATACATTAACATTCGCTGGAATGCCACCACACTCTTTAACACTCAAGAAACATTGCCCAATCATTCTATTGAGAAACATAAATCCAACTAAAGGATTGTGTAATGGAACATGATTAATATGTGATTCTTTTGGTGATCATATAATCAGTTGTTACATTGCAATTGGTGAACACAAAGGAAAACACGTATTCATTCCCCGAATTCCACTAGAGACATCTAAAGATGAAAAATGTTCTATCCCCTTCAAAAAGGAATCAATTTCCAGTGAAGCTGTGCTTTGCAATGACAATTAACAAATCACAAGGTCAAACTTTAGATTTTGTTGGAATTTATTTAAAGGAACCAGTGTTTAGTCATGGACAATTATATGTTGCCATGTCAAGAGCAAAAAATGCATCATCCATAAAAATGCTTATCCTTAATAAAAACAACAATGGAGAGCCAACAAATGAAACAGAGAATATAGTGTACCAAGAAATACTCCAATACATTACACCAAATTGATATACACTTGATACTTATTAATTATGACATTGCCTACCAATAAAATTGTAAGTTTTATTTATGTAATTATGTTAGAAAATTTGTCCATTTTTTTGTTTGCTAAATTCAATGTATAAAGTTCCTTTATTTTTTCTTTCAGGAAAATAAAAAAATATGGCTGATTCACTTTTAATAAGTGACATCACTCCTCAATTAGCTTCTTGGACTTGCAAGGTTTCAATTGTGGAAAAGCTCAACATACGTGAATCATCAAAAAGTCCAGGGAAATTGTACAAGCCGTTTGTGCTTCAAGATATTGTAGTAAGTAATAAAAGTTAAGAAATACGACATTAATGCACAATATATAAACCTAATGTCAATACATTCTATATAGGGAAACAAGGCTAAGGCCATGGCATATGGCCAAGATATTTCTGTTGTGGACCAAAGATTAGAACTGTACAAGACCTACAACATATCTAATGCATTGGTCACTGCGGTCTACCCAAATTTCAATGTTCCTGATGAACATTACAAATTTCTTTGGTCCATCAATAGAAGGACATTGATTCAAGATGTGGATGAAGAGGATAAAATAGAAGTGCAAGAAAATGCTGACATAGTTACAACACCATTTTGTCTCTTCTATAACTCCATGACTAAGAGAGAGACTATAAGTAAGTTTATAGTTCTCAAACCAAAGGTCTTTGTACTCATAATAAATACATACTTAAAAAAATTCCCTATATTATAATATTTTCAACCCTTTGCAGATGTGCTCGGTGCCATTATCTATAAACTCCCACGTGAGTTTGTTGTCACAGAGAAGAAGAAAAAACAAGCAAAGGACTTTATCTTTGTTGATGAGCAGTAAGTACACACAAAAAGTACATTGTTTTCAATTATTCGTATCCACTTAAATATACTAACTAAAGTAATATGTTTTTAGATCGCAACCAATCATTTTCACAATGTGGGATGAATGTGCTAGCATTCAAGGTGTTGAGATTCAGAAATTACTGGATGTCGGAATATATCCAATTGTTCTTGTTAAGCGTGTTGCTGTGACTACATATCAAGGTGATATTTAGATAAACTGATGTAGTTATTTACAAAATTACACATTTCCAAAAACACTAAATCAATATTGTTTCTTATAGTTATCTATTATTCATTTTACGTACAAGCCTAACAATTAAAAAGTGAATATTTTGTTTTTTTATATTTTCTCACTTCATTTTCATTTCATCATTTTCATTTCATCATTACACAAATCTGACTTCAATGTTGGTGATAAAGAAGTATACATCATTTTCATTTCATCATTTTCATTTACCTCATTGCCGCAAAGGCTCCCACCTACAGTGGGGTAAGGGGGGTCGGATGTACGCAGTCTTACCCCTGTACTAAAGCACACAGAGACTATTTCCGGATGACCCATAGTGAAAATCGCGTCCAAAATTGCATGACTGACTGATGCTTCATAACAAAGAAGCGCAGACAGTTTAGTGAGCCATTTTACTTTATTCCATCATAATCTCAAGCCAAAAAATAATGAATCTTTGGCTCCATTGCAAATGATGGAAAAATAAAGAAGTATACATGTTCAATTTTAATTAAACGTACAAGTAATCTATTAGTAACTATTGATAAGCATTGACACCTGATTTGTTTACAGGTTTTTAGTTTCTCTTGCCTTCTAAAAAACATATATTTGCACATTCTATAAAACATAGCATTAAAAATTTCACAAATTAAGCAACACAAAACTCCTTCTTCCTTTCTGTGTGCATCTTAATGTATATATTTTGTCTTACATGAATTTGTTTGTTGTTTGATTTACTTTATTACTTCAATACATTAAACATATGTGCAGGATTATCTTTATCAACAAGATATGACACATGTATAGAACTATATCCTGATACCCAACATGCTATTGCACTAAAACAATGGTAATTTATACTGAATCCACTTTAACTAACTTATGTACACTATTTTGAGGTATAAAAATAGAATTTTTAAAAAGACAACTAATTGTAAAATTTCACTTAACAGGAGATCTACTAATGCTCAAGCTATTCAGAATATGAACACCGAACAAGCGTACATGGACTCACTTGTTAGGTTTGCACTACCGGAAATGCAATCTAAATCTCATGTCATTGATGTCAAGAACAGTGTTGACGAGGTAACATATACTCCCAATGAAGAAATTGCCCTTATTTAATTTGTTGACTATAATTTGTGATAGAGAAACTTAATTAATTTTTGATATAATAGGCTAGGGTGTTTTGGATTTTGAGCACCTTACGATTTCTGGAAAACGGTTTCATTCCGTTTTACATCGGTTGCAATAGCTGCAATAAAGGAATTAACTACACAGTTGAAGGTGTTCATTTTCAATGTTTGAATTGTGGTAACATTAATGGAGTTAGCACAAAGAGGTAAATCTGAGAAGTTTAAATTTCTCATCTTTTATTGATTAAGCACAAAAATCACTATAACTAACAATTGCAGATTTCGATTGAGTGTTGAGGTATCTGATGCAACTGGGGAACTGCAAACAAATCTATTCACCAATGAAGTGTACAAGTTGCTACGGATGCTGGAAATTAACATCAATCCCGATTGCATAAACAGTGCTGACTTGAATGATAAAGTCAAGGCTCTCACTTTCATTGTTGCACTTAAAATAGTGCGTCCTAAAATACATTCAAAGGCAAAAAAGAATTTCTATGTGCTTTCTCTTTCCTTTCCAACAGATATTCGTACATGCAGTGATGCTCAGTCCACAGTTGTGCATGACAATGTGCTACCAAATTCCCCAGAAGGCAAAAGGAAGCTAATAGGAGGCGAGAACTATGACTCACAATACAAAGAAGCAAACTTGCCTGACCTCCCAACAATTGCAACAACTTCAGCCAAAAACAAAGGCAAGAAGCACAAAAAATGTTAGATCAAGCTAATTTAACTATGGGATCTTACTAATGATTATCTATGTATTTGAAACTTATAACTTTGATGCATATTAAATACTTTAATAGTTGATTACTAATAATTAGGTGTATCCTAGGTATGACCTTTGGATGTAAGCCGATATAATGTACTGCAATGTAAACTTACTACAACTTATACACTATGATAAAGTTAGAAGCACTATTATATTAATTTAATTATCCTATTAATATAATTTCTGTGGTCTTAAATTTGATTTTTTCCTTGTATCATGTACTATTATTGTGTGTGGTGCCATTTTCATAAACTCAATTTATTTCTTGACTTCATTACCATCAATTCTTCACATTTCCTACAGGAAGTACCTTCATTATAATTTGTTGACTTTGCACATTTAGGAAAAAATATTAAATTTTGTGTCATTAAATTAGTAGCATTTCTAATGCAAATCATTCATGCAAATTTTATGAAAATAATAATCCCTTTCAAAATATATGGAAACATCCATGCATATTCTGTGTCTTTTAAATATCAATTCTACATGTATTCAAAGTGTGATTAGGAGTGTCATTTTTACATACCAATAACATTAATAATTTATGCATGTAATTTCAAAATGTTAAGCATATCCGCATGTAGTACATACCCAACAACACATTTCAACATTGTACTCCAAACACATTACATCAATCGTCAACTACTAAATTATGGTAAAAAAGTTACATACACTCTTATTAAAAATATGCCAATGTTAGAATTTAATATCACAATAACACAATATCTTTAATCTTATGATTATTTTTTCTTGTGTCACATACATAATATTATACTTATTTGTGCCACTACCATATTTCAACTTTTACTTAACTTTTTGACTATGAATTATTCACAATAACTACGGAAACTCCAATACTCTCTAATTATTGACTTTGTACATTTAATATATACATATAAAATTACGTCTCACTAAATTAGGAGTATTCCTATACAGATAGACTACACACTAACCAAATTACATTAAATGTAAATTAAATTAAACAATGACTCGAAATATGTCAACAAGTATTATAAAAGAAGCTTTATTCCAAAAGTTCCATACAATAACCTACATGCAAAAAGTCAAAAACTAAAAATTATAAAACTTACGAGGCATGTGTATATATTATAGAGTCATTGCAGAAAAATTAAGACACTAATTTAGACAATTAATAATAAAATGTTGGGCATTATTCGCACGTAGTGCGTAGCCCGCTAGTATATATATAGATTTATGATCAAGTGAGAAAATCATCTTGGGAGAGAAATGAGAATGAACTACCACCCTTAGATTATCTTATCTTATTATAAATGGTTAAGGGTATTTTTGAAATTTACGTTCCTTATTTAATGCACCTTAATTGTTGACCCATGTAAATAGGTAAAGTTATTTTCTTCCGTTTAAGTTTCTTAGTCTTACTACATGTAGTATATTTTTCATATCCTTTTCTTGTTCATCTTAAATCATACTACGTATTTTCATGAGTTTTTTTCTTCAAATGATTAATTCTTAATATTACAATCATGTTTCACCATATTCTCCCCATTTTATTTTATTGTTTCTTTCTTTAGTTAGGCTATATGAAAAGCTCATCAATTTTGTTCATTTAGCTATGCACTTTTTTTTATTTTATTTTTTTTAGATATGCACTTTTAACATATTAATTTTGCATACTGTCACAAGTGAATATTACGTATATATTTATGATATTGTATTTAAATTTTAACTATGCACACTTATTGTATAATTATTTGCATTATAAAAAGTTAGATATAAAAAAATATCAACATGTCTAATTTATTTGAGAGCAAATACCAAATAATTATTAAATTTTAATTTCCATTGTCTAGAAAATTCGTCTACCTAAATTGGCTGTCATGCAAATTTTTAGAAGCTATGCGCAATATAAAAGTGTACATGTTTATAGAATTAGGTTAAAATGAGAAAAGATCTTAGGAGATAAATGAGAATAAATTTGAACAATTAGATTTTTTTCTGTGAAATTGAATGTACAGTAGGTGAATCTAAAATGTGCATTAGGTGATGAAATCAAAATCTGCAGGAAAAAAGGTACGACATAATGACATTATGTGAAGCTAAAGTGTGTATTAGGTGAAATTGAAATGTGCATTAGGTGAAACCAAAGTGTGCAAAAATAAAAACTACGATGCGGTGTCATTTTGGGCCTTTTATTATGCACATTTCAATTTCACGTAATGCACATTTGTGTTTACCTTTTACTCTGCACATTACAATCTCACCTAAAGCACACTTCAGTTTCATCAAATACACATTATACTTTATCGAATTATTAATGGGTTTGCATTATTACTTCCCAGAGTGCAATTAACAAATGACAAATGTGCATTTATACACTTGAACAAAAAAACTACTTTTATTTATGTCTATAAAACCAATAATGTAAATTAAAAGGAACAATCATAACATAAAATTGCATCACGAATTTTGATAAAGTGCAAAAAAGTGTTCATTACTATTAATAGTGCACATAAAAAAATATAAGATTATTGCTTAAAACAGATAAATAACCTATCAAAAGTGCAAATTTCGACTTTATAAAGTGCATATCTTACATAAATAATAAGATTGTATATATAACATTGGGATATAATTATCACGGTAATATAAAAATGTATTAATGCACTTTGAATATTTACCACATGCACATTCATGATTTGGTTATTGCACATATAAAATCTAATTGTCTTTGTATGCATAAAATATGCACTTTACATAAAATAATTTATATTTTGCACATGTACTTTAATAACCATGTATTGCAATAGAATAGTGCATGATCATTGTCATTGTCTATTATATTAACAAAATGGATGATCATTTTGCAATAGAATAATGCACGATCATTTTGCACAATCATTATTATATTAATAAATATCTAATATTTAATGGACGATCACTTTAATGGCATGAAATTGCCCATGATTTTAGCAAATGTGTTACATGCGTGCCAAACTACCTTATTACCATTGAGCCCCTACGTATTTATTAAAATGAATTCTTTCCATTTAAAACTTCTCCACCTTACCGAAATTAGTGGACGGATGTTTTAACTCCACTAGAATCCTAACCATCCGATTAGATATATGAATGGTGAGATGTCATTCTTTTTTCTCTCCCGGGACTCCTTTCTCATTGGAACCCTCCCCTATATATATATATATATATATATATATATATATATATATATATATATATATATAATAAGGATCAAATGAGAAGAACATGATCTTAGGAGAGAAATGAGAATGAATCTAGACCGTTAGATTTGCTTTAAGTGAAATTCAATGTGCATTATATGAAACTGTAATGTGCATTAGGTGAACTTAAAATGTGCAGCACAAAGAGTACAATACAATGACATTATGTGAAGCTGAATTGTGCATTAGTTTAAATTGAAATGTACACTAGGTGAAACTGAAATGTGCAGAATAAAAGGTTCGATGTGATGTTATTTTTGTACATTTTATTCCGCATATTTTAGTTTCGTCTAATGCACACTTGAGTTTAAATTTTATTCTGCACATTTCAATATCATGTAATGCACATTTCAGTTTTACAAAATGCACATTTCCGTTCCACATAATACAATTCAATGGTCCAGATTCGTTCTTATATATTTCTCTTCTGGGAGTCCGTTCTTACTGGAACCACTCCCTATATATATATAATAAAGATCAAATGAGAACAATGCTTAACGTGAGAACGTGAGAACACCACATTACCCCAAAGTGTTGCACAACGAAACTTGTACATTGCACATTTTCATATTTTCACAATATTTACCAAAATGCCACCGTGTTATTTAATACAGGCATAATTTGAACAAATTGAAAATGTGCAATAGAATAGCTCCATTGTGCACCACGTTGATTTAAATGTGACCGTTCTCACGTTTTCACGTTAAGCATCGTTCTCACTAGAACCGCACCATATATATATATATATATATATATATATATATATATATATATATATATATATATATATATATATATATATAGGGTTCCGGTGAGAATGAAGTCCCAGGAGAGAAGTGAGAATGAAATCCGACCTTCAATCCTCTCAATCTAATGGCCTAGAAATTGTAGAAAAAGAGCCATGTAATTCGGACTAATCAAGTTGTAAAAAAGGCAAGATACCCTTGGTATTAATTAATGGGTACAATGGTAAAATTAATTAGACTAGTTATCATGCACGAGTGATCTAAATAGGAAGTAATCCTACTTTTTAGGATAACCATTAATACGGAAGTAACTCCCACACAATTAGCAAGATTAGTTCTTATAAATGTTTCTTTATTATTTAATTCTCTTTCCATTTTTTAATTCTCACTCATATAATTTGAATAGTCAATTGGGAAAAATATATTTAAAATGGGCATCATCATTCATGTCATATCCGTTTATTTTTATATGCAATATTCCCATAGTGCAATCAATATGAGTTTGTTGATTTGCACTCCAATATTAAATAATTGCACTTTTATTCGCAATATTATGTAAATGAGTTATTTATTTTTTTGAAAAAACTCTTTGTAAGCACTTTTTTAAATGCACTTTTTTTTAAAAATCAACGCCATTCATCAACAAACAAAAATTAAAGAGAAATAGCATCTTTATTGTACTAATTTGCAATTTGTAATTAAATTGCACATTTATGACATTGGCTTGCACTTAGTATAATAGTTACTGCATTTTACGCATACCATTGTGCACTTCCATACATCTCTCTAATCAAATTGATTTCAAAAAATGAAAATAAATAAACACGGGTGTAAAAAAACATGAGCATGCTATCATGTGCATTTAAGTGTACAAAAGTGCACTAGTATACCACACTTTCTAAAATTTTACAATAATACTTTTACCCAAAATGAAATGCACTTTAAACATGTGCATTTAAATATAAAGAGGGGTGCATTATTGTTTCACACTTTCTAAATTTTTACACGGGCTTTGCAGTGCAGTTATAATACAAAAGAGGTGCAACATACACGGTTATGTTGATGCAATTTTTAAATAAAATATAAAGCATAATAATAAATGGAAATGCATTGTAAAACAAAGCAGAAGATTTATTTTAAATAAAGTGACAAAATGATCAAGTTTTTTTATAAAAATTGAAAAACGGATGTCTTCCTCCGTGACATCGTACTTGAGAATGATGAAGGTATGGAAGAATCAAATAAGATAAAAGAGATTTGATAAAAACTCAGTTAAGAATCGTAAATCAATAAAAGCAAATAGGATGATTGGTCATGCAAGACAGTAGAGAAGTAACCGTGTGATTTTAATATGTTGCCAATTTCTCTTATTTGCCCTTAATGAAGTGCTAAGAAAATCCTAGATCCAATGGCTATATATTATTCTAATTTCTCTCCTAAGATGGTTTTATCACATGAACATATATATATATATATATATATATATATATATATATATATATATATATATATATATATATATATATATATAGACACACATAACATTTTAGCTCAATTAACAATCACTGACATAAAGTGAGTACTAGTATACTCTTATATCCCTCAATTTTTTCTTGATCTAGAAATCCTCCATCATATGGGCTTTATATTTCTGCATTAACAATGTATTTAGGAAAGTTGCCCTAAATAGAAGTAAACAAGTTTAGAAATTCTTAAATAGAACTGGTATATTTTTCTTTCCGAAATAAGAATCGTTACTGTCATGATTTAAAAATACATACATTAATGATAGAAATATTGTCACGTTTAATGCATAATACTGCAATTATTTGACAGTCATAACTATAAGATGACAGTAAATATTATCTTGTACTCCTATTTCGGAAAACTCATAACAGTCCTATTTTGAAATTCCAAAACTTATTTACTCATATTTCTGAAACTTTCCCTTTTTATGATTTTCACATATAAATCCGTGTTTCTATAAAGAGTTTTTTCCATTTTTGGTCCCCGACTATTGTGTCATTGACATTTATGGTACTCGACTTTTAATTTTTCGAATTCTAGTCCTCGACTATTGTGCTAAAGACATTTTTAGCCCTTGACTTCAAAGTTTCCCACATTTAGTCCTCTGTGTATTATTAAATTGACACTTTTAGGGTATGTTTGGCACAACTAGCTGAAAAGATACTTTTATAAGCTTTTTAGTAACTGTTAGCTTATAGTGACTCAAAAGATCTTAAAAGAAAAAGGTAGCAGCTGTTTGATAAAAAGCCGACTGTTTGATTTAGCTCTGTTTGGTATATAAGCTGTAGGACTAATTAATGCTAGAATTACAGACTTATATGAGATGCTACTCACTGTAGCATCTGAAAAAAGATCTTTTATTTTTGTAAAAACTCTTAAAAATTGGCATGTCAAACATACACTAGAAGCTTCTAAGGACTTTTTAAATACTACCTCCGTCCCTTAAAACTTTGCCAAGTTTGACCGGCACGAGAATTAATAAAGTAAAAACTGTGTGGTAGATGTTTGTCCAGAAGAGAGAGAATTAATTGGAACCACAAATTCTTTACTTAAAAGGGAAAGTGACAAAGTTAGTGGGACATCCAAAAAAGGAAAGTTGGCAAAGTTTTAAGGGACGGAAGGAGTAGTACAAAAGCTAGAAGGCATGTACTTATGCGTGCCAAACATAGCCTTAGTCACTATGATTTTGATACAATAACTGGTGGACTAAAAATGTCATTATTATAATAGTTGAAGAACCAAAAGTGTCACTTTTAGGAAAGTTGGAGGACTAAATATTGAAAAATTTAAAGACATGTACCAAGAGTGTCTCTAGCAAGATAGTCAAGAAATAAAAGTGGAAAAAATCAAAATCGAGTACAAAAAATGTCAATGACATAATAGTAGAAGGACTAAAAGTGACAAAAACTCTTCCGTAAATTATCATGCATCTATAACCATTTATTTACATTTACATGTACCTAATCTTTGTTCTATTTATGTGATACTCTATATTGCCAACTAAAAACACACGCATATCATCACATATTTTGTTGCTCATACTTTAGTTTGTCTTTGTAATTCCAAACAACTTAGCTATACTAATTATGAGCATTCAATGAAATTAACCTTAACAAACTAGTATTATTATAAAATTAATGCATACTCCGTATAATTTAGTCCTTAGTCTACAGTTTGCCATAAAATTGTCCGTGTTTGTAATTTGTACTACATCCGTCCCTTAAAACTTTGCCAAAGTTGATCGGCACGGAGAATAATAAAGTAAAAACTGTGTAGTTGAGATTTGTGCAGAGGAGAGAGAAATAACAAAAATCACAAAATAATTGATTAAAAGGGAAAGTGTTAAAGTTTTTTGAGACAATACCAAAAAAGAAAGATGACAAAATTTTAAGAGGGAGAAAGCATTAGCCATTGGTTTTATCAAGTGAGAAAATTGTTATTGGAGTATTCGACTACATGAGCCATACGACGTTGACGATAGGGGCTTTAGTAGTTAAGCTTGGCGTTGACGATGCCACGGTGGCGGCCGGCGACAAAAGGACTTGAAAAATGAGAGCTCATTTGGCCGTGTTGTCTTCAAGCTTTTCTCCCCCACGCTCTTCTGCCTCCGTAAGATACACGCCCTTCCTGCTGCAACGCCATCGACCTTTCTTACTCCATAAGGGCGCGACTATTTACAGCAACACCCTCCCACTCTCTAAATTCCACCACCCTTCACGTACAACCACTGCTTCAGCTTCAATCATGGCCGCTTCGCTTCCACCCGGACAGGCTAGGGTTCCTCCAGCTATCAAGTTACCCGTCCCTCCCGTCACTAAGGTCTTTCCTACTCTTAAATGCATTTGTCGTTAGAATTACTGGAAAAGATGAAATCATTTTAACAGATATTTTATTCATATTTGAAATGGTTGATCTCTATCTGATAAGCAGTTTAAGATTGGTCTTTGCCAATTGTCTGTGACGGCGGATAAGGAAGTAAACATTGTTCATGCTAGAACTGCAATTGAAGAGGCTGCGGAGAAGGGAGCCAAGCTCATTGTTTTGCCTGTCAGTAATTTTCAACTTTATTGTTACTCATTTTTCTGCTTACTGGTTGATGTCTTCATGGTGAATTACGATCATTCTCAATAATGGGATTTTTTACAGATATGCTTGATGAAATTAATTATGAAATAATTGTAGAGTCAAAATTAGCATTTAAATTGAATTTCTATCACTGTATAATTTTCCACTTTTGTCACGTTCAAGAGTCAAAATTAGGGCGATAGCACGGATGGGAAAGCTTCAGGAGTGTTTACTTGTACCTTATTTCACTAATTTGATTGTGGTTATGTTACGGTATGTCAATCCAAAATGAGTTTATCCATATGTTAAGGCATAGCATTCCATTTACTTTCCTTTTCATATTAAAGCCTGTGTTGTGAACTGACAAAATTTAGTTTCTTGAAAAACAAGATCTCTTTGCAGAAACTAATTTTTTGGGCTGTTGGGTGATAAATGCACAACTACCTCTATTATGGAGTTGTTAAAGTGCATAGGTGCCACTAGTTCTGGACTTTTGGGGTTGTAGTGTTAGCCTGGAGTTACACTGTTCGAACATGTTCTCTACTTCTCTTTATTTAAAGAATATTATTTGGTCTAGAAATCTTTCTGGTCTGGATTTTTTTTGTTCTGAATCTTTCTGGTATGAAAATAAGAAGTAATAAGCAAAAAAGGTGAAGACTGAAGAGAACACTGCATTAGGCACATAATTCTGTCTTTCAAAGAAAAGAAATTGAAAAAGGCTCACACAAAGGAAAGACCTGGTGTTTGTTTTGTTATTACTATTGCTTTCTGTATTCTGATAATAGTTTACTTGCTTTTTCCAGGAAATATGGAACAGTCCATATTCAAATGATAGCTTCCCAGTTTATGCTGAAGACATTGATGCTGGTCCAGATGCATCTCCTTCAACTGCCATGCTTTCTGAAGTTGCTCGTCTTCTAAAGGTCACAATTGTCGGCGGTTCAATACCAGAACGAAGTGCAGATAAGCTGTACAACACCTGCTGTATCTTTGATAGTCAGGGAAATTTGAAAGCAAAGCACAGAAAGGTAATTTTTAGTGCATCAATCTGTAGTGTCTGAATGGGTTGTTTCCACCCCAAACTCTGAAAGTGTCAAGTGATAAAACTGAGCACTTGACTGAATAGTCATCCCAGGGACCTACTCCCTCTGTATATTGAAATGTTTGCTACACTTTATTATTTAGATGTATTTTAATTTTTGCTGCACTTTCCCTTTTTGGTAAGTTTGGCCTTTAAAAATACTCAACTTCCATTACTTTTCCTACTTTTTATCTCCTCTTTCATACTTTTCCACACTCTCTTCTACTTTTTCTACACTGTTCATTACCCCTACTACTTTTCCCTTAAATATTATGCCAAACCCGATTGTAGTCTTGTAGCAAACATTTCAATACGGAGGGAGTATATATAATGGGATTGGGGCAACAGTGTCTTATATGGTTAGACATTTCTGGTTCCGCACTTCTGCAATACACAGCAGGATTAATTTTTTGGTTATTGATGTCTATGTTTCTAGTGCCCTTTTCTTCTTTCTGTTCTGGAAGATGGCATTGAAATAGAAACATAAAGCATTTCGGCCATTTCCAAATCATTGTGTTTTGACCTCACAAGTTTTGTCTCACATCCTCTCCTAAACAAACATTGTATTGTTCTTTAAGTGTGATTTTGGGCGACATGAAACTGGATTGAATTCAAGTTCCAATTAATGTTTGAATTACGACTTCACAGATACATCTTTTTGATATCGATATTCCTGGGAAAATAACTTTTATGGAATCCAAGACTCTCACAGCTGGGAAAACTCCTACAATTGTGGATACAGGTAATTCTCATGATTTAGTATTTGGATGCGTAATCAAACTTATTATAAGTGGAAACGTTTTCTCCTTAGATACGAAGGAATGATGATAAAAACAACAACAATAATAATAGTAATTAATATTATTATCATCATAATTGTTGCTATCTGCACTTTGCAGAGGTTGGACGAATTGGTATAGGCATTTGTTATGATATTCGATTTCAGGAGCTAGCTATGCTATATGCATCAAGAGGTCGTTCTTTTTCCTTTTGTGCATTATCTTTTGTATTGCCAGCCAACTGATGGTTGTGCCATCACTGACATTTGATCACCAGGCGTTCACTTGATCTGCTATCCCGGTGCCTTTAACATGACTACTGGACCACTCCACTGGGAATTACTACAGAGGGCAAGGTAAAAATGTCATTTTTCTTTTAAAGATGTTCCCTTTCCGCTGTAATGGAAGAAGTCCTCATCACCAAGTCCTTTGGTTTGAAGCTCACACTATCATGCTAGTACTTATTTTTTTTCAATTAAGGATATATCCTTGCTGACTGCTATTATCAATCTTATTGCAGGGCTGCAGATAATCAGGTATCATGCTCTCATTTTTTCTTGAGATCTATATCTTATCAAATGAGACTTTGAAGCTATGGGGTTAGGAAAAAACCTAACTTCCCTGCTGTAGGTAAGGTGGTGATCGACCAACACTGTTAGATTAAGTATTTCCAAAGCTAGTTATTATTCCAAGTGATAAGCCTTATATAGGAAAAAGACAGAGTCCTAAAACAAGAATGGTAAGAGTTCTAAACTATAAAAAACTCAGAAATAAGAGATTGACTAAAATTTGGAAAGCTAAATAATAGGAAATGGCTGGGACAAAGAAAACTAATTAAATAGAAGTAGCCAAGCTGCCAAGATAACTTGTGGACCAATTAATTAGGCTCCTTTCTTCGTCGGTGGTACTAACGGACAAAACGGCTTGTATCAGACTAGTATGATACTATTTTGTATGACTAGTCTTAAGTACTTATACTGCATTCGCTAGCTCGAATGTGGATCGGGATATCACATAAATCTGTTAATATGCTTTTCTATACGCAAATCACAACTCACAAATTAGAGTGTGTATGATGGTTAGTTTGGGTACTAAAGGGCATTGCTGTTGTTGTGCCTCTTAAAATATGTTATTGAAAACACAAAAGGAGTATCCAAGATGAATTAATTCCACTTTTGGTCTCCAACTTCTGTATTTATACTTTTGGTCCCACAAATCACTTACCGTCGTCCCGAGTCCTGACCACTTAAGCCAGTCAATTTATGTACAACTTCAGGCTGACTTCGGCTGAAAATGTGGTTGGATGGACCATAAATGATCAATAAATCTATAACCATGACAAAAGTGGAAAAATAAAAACGCAAGACTAATTGTAAGAATGTCCTAAACACCTAATTATGTGGAGACCAATAGTGGAACCAATTCATCCAAGAGTGAGTACTGACATGTTGCACAATATTGCCGAAGTGTATATGAATATATTTTGCAGCTTTATGTAGCAACATGTTCCCCTGCTCGAGATGCTGGCACCGGATATGTGGCTTGGGGGCATTCCACACTTGTTGGACCAGTGAGTTTACTTTCTTCTTGTTCTTGTCCTCTTAAACGCTCAAAATTGATAGGTGGGATCAGTGGATAAACAAACATGTTTCTCTATTGAGATGCTGGATTTTGCAAGTGGCCTCTCCACACAAGATGAGTATTAAGAAGAAAATAGATTTCTGCTACAATTAATATTTTTACTGCATCCAGTCCTGATTACGAGACACAATTTTCAGTTGCACAGAATAAAGAAATCTGATTAAAAGTATTTAAAGTAATCTTAGTTTCCTATTGTGCCCTTAAATATTTAGTCATTTATGAAGGAAATGTGTTTGAGAGTTTTAAGCGTGACATAGATAGTATAAAAGTGACTAACATAGAAGACCATCGTACTAATCTACTATGCCATGTAAGTTAGGAGCGGAGGGAGTAGTTTTCACTTTTACAATCTACTCTCATCCTAGAACTATAGGTTGCTAGTTCATCATTAGCAATTGATACCAGTAATTTAAATTTTATGTTTTGTTGTAATTTTAATTTGTTGTGATTTGATTGGCAGTTTGGGGAAATAGTAGCTACCACTGAGCATGAAGAGGCCATTTTAATATCGGAGATAGATTATTCACAAATTGAACTTAGGAGGTAAAATTTGTGAGTGGATTTGTTTATGTTCTTGCTCACCTTTCAGTTACATTTATTTGCTTGATGCACACAGGACAAATCTGCCATTGGAGAAGCAAAGGCGCGGTGATCTTTACCAGTTAGTGGATGTCCAGAGATTGGATTGTCAGTGAAATATTGTCGCTATAATTATCAGTTACACAAAATCTAGCGATGGAGTAGATAGTAATAATCCATTGGACAACTGTATTTTCTGCTTGAAGAAGAAATATTGCGAATTCTTGTGCACGACACAGCATTTCTTGAAAGATACTGGCAAGTGATAAACTCCCGCCTGTGCTGCCTTTTGAGACTGCAATCACTGAATAAGAGAATATAAGAGAATTGCCCTATTTGTTCCGGTACTCCACTTTATTTTAGGGGTGGGTTCAGTTTCTTTTAGTTCGATTTTTACCCAAATAGAAGTAAACAAATTCTAAAATAGGACCGTTATATTTTTATTTCCGAAATAGGAGTCGTTTCTGTCATTATTGAAAATTACATACATTAATGATAGGGCTTTTTCACAAATAGACTCAAAAGGCAAAGTAATATCACTTTTATCACATTTTAATTTTTCTTTCAAAAATAGATGAGTTAACCTTTTCCTTTCACAAATGAACCATGTGTCCGTATACCCATTCACTGGAACTCAAAGAAGCACACGTGAAGCCCAAGGGAAGATCCCACTTTAACATAATACTCCGTACGACACATAAACTAAAAGCTCCTATGTTTACTCTTTTTTTCATTTGTTGTATACCCATTCACCGGGTCATTTCCATTTGTAGAATTCAACTAAATCCCTATTCACTGTTGTTCTATCATGAATAAAGAGTACTTTTGTGGACTGATGGAATTGCCTCACTTTCTTCTACAGTTCTCAGAGGATTCCACTAAATGCAGAACATGTCTTGGGGGTGGGAGAATAAATCCATAAGCACCTCACTTTTCTCCACTTCCCTATCATCCCTTCTATGTCTCTATTGGTTATTATTATATTGTGCATGAAGTATGAGTGAATGAGATGCACCTTTCAAATATCTTTCAAGATTGAATTTTACCTTGGTGATCACAGGGGCCAATAGAACTTGTTCAACAACAAACAATAGGAATAAATATGAATTTCCAGAAAAAGTTATTAAAAGGTGAGAAGAAATCTGAATGAGACTAAAAGTTCAAATGAGAAATTCAAAGAAATTCCGACCAGTAAAAAAAAAGATTGCTACATTTGGAAATACCAGATAGAGGTGAATCTAAGAATAAAACCATGATATTTGATTTTAATTTAATATTAAATACTACTCTGAAGCAAATACAAATCTGAGATCATCTCACATGCACAGTACAAAAAATATGAATCTGAGATCATCAGACATGAACAGTACCAGAAATACTAATATCAGATCTAGACCCAAAAACCTATGAACAAAGCATAAATCCAAGATATAGCGATTAAATACACACTGACGCAGTCCCCGCAAGCAGGAACGGAGGGTGGCTGGGCGGAGCAGTGGAGCGAGGGAAGCCGGATAACACAACATGCGCAGGGCGAGAAGGGATCAGCAGCGCACGTCTCTGACTTAGCTACTTAACGCTTCAATCGATCTGCGATGATATCGTGAGGATGTTGGAACGAGCTAGGAGTGAATACCGAGCTTGACTGTCGTCAATCGACGATCATTACTTTAGTTTGGTATTTAGCTTATTTTTGTAATAAAAAACTTGAAGTGAAAAGGTGAAAGTCTATAAATGAGAAGTGAATAATTAGGAGACATAAATGAAATGCAAATAGATAAAGTGGACCTGATGGATTATTTCCACTTAATGATACTACCTCCCCCCCATATCGGGACGGAAGAGATTAATGTGGTTTTTAATTGGAGACACACAAATGTTACCAAATATGATACGGGACAATGATAGGGGGATATCCAAAAATGAAAAAATGGAACAATTATAGGGGACGGATGAAGTAATAAATATTGTCATGTTTAATGCATAATAATGCAACTCAAGGGTATAGAGAGGCGAGAGCTTCTCACTCTATGGCTGTTTTGTGATCATTTGCGTTTCTATAGAAATTCTAATATAGTTTGTAGATATATAATTTTTGCAAAAGAAATTGAGAAGGATTATCTTTATATTCAATTAAACTTGTAAACCATTTTTGTCAAATCGTGACAATGGGAGTACATTATTATTATTCTTGCGGTTGTGCATAATTGAAGAACAATGAAAGTGTTATATACGAAATTTTTACTATGAAGATTTTGATTGTGTTCATATTGTTATCATGTTTTCATATCATATTGTCTTTACTCACGCAAAACTGAGTGTATTTATGCATATAATTAAAGTATTTAATTTGAAAAATAAGTTACAATATGATTTAATGCACACTCCAATTAATAATTAAGCATATTTTGTAGATGTTACTAATTATTTAAATATTGTAGTGTAAACGTAGTAATTATTTTTTATATTGTATGTGCATTTGCATCATTTATTGAGTTAAACAATGGTTGTAAAAGTAATATCAACATTTATTATGTGAAATCAATAAGAGAGTCATACATGGCATTTCATAATTCAAGTTACTATATACGGTGTACAACAATAAGGGATGGACCGGGACTAAAAATTTAAGGCCCGTTACCAGCCCGGGTTTGTACCGCGACCGGGCATAAACAGTACCGGGTTGGGACCGAGACGGGCCTAGGCAATAACTTAAAAAAATAGTTCAATCGGGCCTGGGACCAGCCCAGGCTCAGCCGGGTCGGGCCTAAAAAAACAAGCTTGAAGCCTGCCCTTATAGTCACCGGCCCAGGACCGGGCCAGACTCCGGACCTAAAGAGGACCGGGCCGAGCCGGGAGTAATGAGTGTCGGGCCCGGGCCGGGCCCGGGCCGACCCGACCCAGTGCATCCCTAACAACAATAGATAACAAAGAATTTGGTGTTTAAGACATTTTTTTGAAAAATTAACTTAGAATTGTAAAAATTAATTATGAATCTTAATTTTAGGATTTGAATGTACTTTAAAATAGTTTGGGCTTTATTGACAAAAAAAAAATCTATGCCTAAGACACTCACCAATTGGATCTTCATTTTTTTTACATATGCAATATTGGTGTCATATAAAAAAAATATGGATTATTATATATGTTTTATAAAAATTGGAGCACAAATGGAAAAGCTATAACACTTTAAAAATTGGAGAATTTTTTCTCCTCTTTTTTCTCCAATGAGTTGACCTAATTAAGATGAATAGCTCGTGATGCACCTTGAATTTGGGAGAAATAATTAAATGTATTAGTAGGAGTGATAATAAAATTCTTACTAACCAATAACAGATTGACATATCATTGATTTATAACTTAGTTTTACTATATAAAATACTAGAATTTTAGTCATTACTAGTTATAATAATACTTGGTATTACTTTAACATTACAAATTATACTTATAAGAATACTTACTCCGTAATTTATAAAATACTAAAATACATTTAAAGTACCAACTTCTAAATTTGGACAAGCCAGTTTCTAACTACTTAGTTTCTCCCTCCATCCCTAAAAGGATTGCCAAGTTTGACCGTCACGTAGAATAATAAAGTAAAAACTGTGTTGTAGAGATTTGTGCAGAGGAGAGAGAAATAACAAGAACCACAAACTGATTGACTAAAAGGAAAAGTGACAAAGTTTTTGGGACAACCAAAAAAGGAAAGTTGGCAAAGTTATAAGGGACGGAGGGAGTATTTATTAGAAAACTATTATGTTATTAATTATGAAATTATTGTACTTAGTTAGAAAGTAACTATCATTAATTATACTAATATTTTTTGAGAGCCTTTTATTCAAATAATCTTACTCCCTCCGTCCCTTATAACTTTGCCAACTTTCCTTTTCTGGTTGTCCTAAAAACTTTGTCACTTTCCATTTTAGTTAATCAATTTGTGGCTCTTGTTATTTCTCTCTCCTCTGCACAAATATCTACCACACAATTTTTACTTTATTATTCTACGTGTCGGTCAAACTTGACAAATCTTTAAGGGACGGAGGGATTATTACTTATTACCTACATTTTTAAAACAAAAAATTATATAAATTTTGAATATCAAAATAAATAAAATATTTGGAACTGAAAATCGAATTGGAAAAGAATTGGGTTGGAACCAGAATCGCCGGTTTTGGAACTAGTACGGTGCGGTTCCGGTTACCCCAAATTCGGAACCACGAACAGGCAGTTTGGTTACAGTTCCCCAAAATTCACCTACACCTTATTCAGTAGTAGTTTTTTCGATTTATTAGCTTTTTTTTAATGCAAACCACTTCTAAATTCAGACCGCTAGGTGACCCTATTTTCACATACACTCAATTTCAACATGTTTAACTTAAATGCACTTACACAATTACATGCACCTACTCAGGGACGGATCCAAGATATCGAGTCAAGGGGGGCGAATTTTTTCTGTTAGTATAGGGGGCGAAAAAAAATTCGCTAGTGTATCGTGGCAATTTTTTCCGCTTGTGTAGCGGGGCGATTTTTTTTGCTAGCATAGAGCTTTACGGCTAATTTTCATTCAAAAAAATCCATCGGTACATACACGATGATATTTAAATATATTACATTGTATAAGTTTTTTTTTGAAAGAATATTACATTCTATGTTTAAACAATGGAAAAATAATTTTAATTTTTTAATTGTAAATGCTCTAAAAAAAGTATTGATACATTAAAGCATAAGAAATGACAAATCAAATGAAAATTATTTGAAGATAAAGAGATTAAAAGGTACACATCAACCAAGATTTCTAAACAACCGTGTGTCTAAAGAAAACCGAGATGTTGTGTGTGGAGGGGAGGGTATACATAGGCAGTAAAACAAAACTGAGGTGTTTAGAGGAAACATAGCTGAAAATGAAATACCAGTTGTTCCGTTTATTATAGTATGTCTAGTTAGGATTAGGTCACAGATTTCAGTATAGAGATCCACCTCATCATCATCATCATCACCCCCGTGCCACAGGACAGGGGATGCAACACGAGGACTTCCATCTTAGTACTACTCTAGTCCAAGAACGCTTAACTTTGGAGATCTGATGAGATCCGGTGCATTAGTGCTGGTATGATCGCATCCAGTGGCGGACCCAGAGATTTGTGAGAGCGGGGGCACACTAGACACTAAACTTAGTCTATAATAAAAACTCCAAATATAATAAAAATGGTAAAAAAATGTATTAAATTATACAGAATAGTTAATTACATATTAAATAGGTCACGTACTACTGCAACTTTGGTAAATCAAGCCTACGAGTTTTCATATTCTGAAAATGTTGCATAATAGTTTCATTTAAGTGCTTCTAAAAACATCTCTCTCGATGTAGAACACCAAGCAATCCATGAGATAGTCATCTTTCATCTTATTGCGAGGATCTGTCTTGATAATATTCTTCTCAGAGAAGCCCCTTTCAACGGTGACTGTTGCAACTGGTAATACTAAAGCCAACTCAGCCAGACGATATTACCAAATCAAAAGAATTTTGAACTTTAAGCTCAACCATTGAGCGGTGCGGCGGTGCAGCGTCAATTCAGCAAGACAGCGAAATTCCCCGAGGCCAGAGCCAAGGCAACGACATCTCCAAAAGTCGTAATTCGTAAACTGTCCGTCAGGTTTTGTTTTTGGAGAATTTCTGCTATTTTCATTCTAGTCTTCCAAATGTTAGTGGGTTTTGTTTTTAGACTTTTAATAGTTTTAGATGGCTACACATTTGGCTACTTTTTTGCATTTTAACTTTTTTTGTTTTCAACCCTTAATTTTTTTTGGTAATTCTATATCTTTTAATTTAATTCAGCTAAAATTTAAATATTTTTTATTAATTTTTTATGTATATAACTATAACATTTTAGTATCTTAATAATCAAATATTGGTTATGAAGCAGGGGCACTGCTTTTTACCTTAAGTGATACTAGTGAAATTCCGAGCTCGAAGCGGGGGCACGTGCCCTCCCTAGCCCCCCTTAGGTCCTCCACTGATCGCATCCAATATAGAGATCCACCTAAATAGGAAAAAAACGTTTCCCAGACTATTATTTTACATGTTCTACAATGCTTATTATTAGCAAATGATTAGATTTCTTACGTATATATATGTCTATCTTAGGTCATCTTATAGACATAATTGTCATGGACGAATGGACCGCAATTGTTTGAAATTCAAAAGCACATTTGATGTTTCTAAATAATCGTGTGGCTAAAGAAAATACTGGAATACAGCACAATATGTATGTGCTTCTTCTTAATTTGTTCCCTTAGGATTAAGTTCTACTGTATTTCAAAAAAGTTGATCGACTTGGTCATTAGATTAGCAAACATCTTTAAATAAGCGTATAAAATGGGATATTTTTATCTTGACTATTTAGAAGTGATATTTGGAGACCACTTTAGGTTTGTATATTACAATCCCACTATGAATTTTTAATTAGTATATTGTATTTGTTCTTTAGTACTTGTACACTATTTAATGGGAAATAATGCGTCAAAAGTAGCGGTTATTCCATGAAGTATCAATCCACTTATTTTTCTTTCATCGGGAGATAATAGGGGATTGTTTAGGGCTTCAAGCAATACACGATTTTCAACACTTAAAACTCTCCTAGAGTTATAAATTAAAACCAGCCTTCAAATTTTTTGTTCTTTGGGGTTTCCCATATTTCATGCATCAACATGAACCCATTAGTCTATCACACACTTCATCCTTTGAGAGACTATATAAATATAATAAAATCTCTATTACCCATGTTTTGTACTATTTTTTGTTTAACAAGCAACTCAAGTTGATGCATTATTTGGATGTTTTTTTTGTAATCCAGGTGTCGGGGCTTACGCTTACATAATACTGGAGTCTATGAACTACCCTCCAAAGCCCCTAGACAGTTAAATCCGGATCTGATCACAGTCAGGCTCGTCAGTACTGACTTCAAAGGATGAATCCAGCAGGACTTACATCACCTTTCAGGTTGCTCCTCCCACCACACGAACTCGCTACCTTCATTACCATCATCTCCCTTCTGAGCCGCTGAGCAACTCCCTGAAGGTAAGAAGAATCATTGGGAGCAAGACCTCCCTCATCTCCCCTTTGGTGGGAATTGAACCCAATACCTCCCACAAAGGAGAGACTTGGGGGTGGATGGTCATCCATTGGACTACACCCACCAACCCTTATTTGGATGTTTTAGCGCACTGAAAGGGACATTTTTTAAACTACGGTAAACTTATAAGATGAGAATTAAGATGCTAAATAGCTTTCAGGTACTATATGAGAGTGTTTGCGATTGCTTTTACTTTTAAAAAGTGATTTTTTAAAGTGATTTTGGAAAAAGTGTTTAATTGTAAAAGTTGGTAGTGTTTGAGACAAAAATATTTTTGAAAAAGTAAAAGTGAGTAGTGTTTGATAAAATAAGTGTTTTTTGTGTAATAGAAAAAATCAAAAGCAGTTTAAAGCAGCTCTCTACCACCTTCCAGTTTTTAGCTTTAAAGTGTTTTTTAAAGTAGAAGTATGCATTAGCAAACACTTTTTCAGCTTATTTTAAGTTAAAAGCTGGTAAGTGCTTATTTTAAGCAATTGCAAACACTCCTTATATCCCGTGCTCATTATTTTTGAGGCATGTGTTTGTAAAACTTAAGCATACCACTACTGCCTTCTATACACACACATTTTGTTTTTCCTTGAAATCATTTATTTCAATTTATAGGTTATCCAATTCTTCAATGTAATGCTTCAGTCAACGAGAGACCCTTTTGTAGTCACGAATAAAATATGACACTTCCTTTTGCAACAAAAAGCAATTTCAGCATCTCTTTTGTAACCATTACCCGTATTTTTTAATTTCTTACTCAACTCACATGAAATGAAACTGATGACTAAGCAGATTCATTCTCAACTATTTTCTATAAATTATTTTAAACCATTAATGTGATTTTATTTCACATATGCTAAAAAATTCACATCCCCAGAAATGATAGCCAGAAGGCTCCACCGTTTGTCCTCGCTGCCCTCCATCTTCAGAATCTCTACTGACCATGGATTCTCCACTGATGGCAACACTTTTCGTTATTGGCTCTCATCAAGATACCCACTCCATATTCAAGGTTTTCATCTCTTCTTTGGATGCACATTACCTGTTTGCCACAAGTCTTCAATGAAAAATTTCAACTTTTGGTTATCTGATTCATTATCTGTGTCTTTAGGCTCTTAGTTGAATGGCATTGTTTAGATTCTTGCAACTTAATTAATCATAGAGAAGACTATTGCGCCAATTTACCTGTTTGCTTTTCTTTTGCAGCATCACGATCATATGCTCGAAATAGAGGCCATTATGATCTATTTGGGGGCCGTGTGCCTGGAGCCAAAGAATTTAGGAAAACCTGGGCTAAAGAAATGGAAGATGAGGATGGCTGTTTATGGACTGCAAGTGAGGACGAGAGTGGCCCTGAAAATGAGCCGAGAAGCTCTTTAAAGAAGGAAATAAAAAAGGCCAAGCATCGAGCTATAAAACATTCAGGTTGCATTGATGCTGATGACAGTGATGAACTAAGAAGTGTGTGGTCTGGTAGTGATGAAGATGAAGAGAAGACACTGTGGACAGGTAGCGAAGGAGATGATGAAGACGATGTTCCCACAGAAGCTTACCCGAATGAGAAGAGTGATGAATATATCGATAAACTGTTTGAGTTTGATGAACAACCGAAGTACAGAACACTCTCTGAGGCTTTAAAAGAAGAGGAAGAACCGGAAGAATTATCACCTGGAAAGAAAGCAAGGAAACTTGCAGTTGAAAATGCTCTTAAGAAATTAAAGAAAGGGCCGGATGGTAGATACATTAATGTGTGGGAGGTCATGAGTGATGTGGACATTCTAATAGGGGCTTTCGAGAACATCATTTCTGGGCCAGAATATGCTGAACTGAGGCAGGGAGGACCTAAGCAGCTGAATATGCAGTTTTTTAAGGATATTCAAGCTCGTATGAGAGATCCAGACTATAAGTTCTCTCCTGAATTAAAGTTAAAACCAAAGAGCAAAGTGGTTCCTAGAAAGAAGTGGCAGAAGGTGGAATCTAGACGTAGGAAAGCCCGGAAACGTTAGCTATTCTTGTATTTGATCTTTCCTAATCTTTGCCTAGAAACAAACTTGTTCATTACCCGTGTTAATACAATTTTAATGCAAAAAGAGTTTCAGTTTCAGTTTCAGAGCTAGTGAGTGCATCATAGACAATTAGGTAGATGATATATATTTGATGCACACACCATCCAAATACAAATGCCATATAGTCATTTAAGGAAATACATTGTCCTACCACATTTTATCTTTTTGGTTTCAAAATTACCTTAAATCTCTACCTCTCTAAGCTTCCTTTTAACCGCCTTGTTGTTAAGGAACTCTAAATCAGAACCATCCTCAAAAATATCATTACAAATGATATCATCCTCAAGTGCAGGTATGGATGTATGTCCCTTGGTAATCATTGTCCCAAAGCTCACAGTCGGAAACACTCTCTTTAGAAGTGTCATAAGACTCCTCACAATCCGTTGTTTTGCTACAAGATGTTGGTGTTTAAATAAGGGCAATGTCTTCTTCATCATGCCCCAAAGCTTTGTCTACAACAATATCACAACCAAAGTAGTAATCGTAAACTACTTTTTGATAAATGTTACAAGCTTTGTCTACTCCAATACCACTTTTTCAATTTCTAGCACCATTTCTACTTGATTATCCTCCGCATTCAACAACATACTCTGCGCTTTCTTGTCTTTCAAAAAAGTACTTAAAGCTTTAACCCCAACAACATCATATGGTACCATCCTTCTCCCAAATTGTGGAATTTAAGTCCAACCTCAACATATATGCATTTCAAAAATAAGTAAAAACCATGCTTCAAGTCATCCTTAAAACTAATACTCATCATTTTCATTCATCTTCCATTGTTAGCCATACATAACATACAACAACATACGAGCCATATCTGTACAAAATTAAGGGTATGTTTGGCATAACTAACTGAAAAGATACTTTTATAAGCTTTTTACTAACTGTTAGTTTTTAGTGACTGAAAAGATCTTAAAAAGAAAAGGCAGTACGTGTTTGGTAAAAAACTGACTGTTTGATTTAGCTCTGTTTGGTATACAAGCTGTTAAGACTAATTAATACTAGAAGCTACTGACTTATCTGAGATGCTACTCACTGTAGCATCTCAAAAAAGATCTTTTATTTTTATAAAAGTTCTTAAAAATTGGCATGCCAAACATACAACTAGAAGTTTTTAAAGATTTTTTAAATAGTATAAAAGCTAGAAGTCAGGGACTTATGCATGTCAAACATAACTAAGATTACCATGAATATTTTTCGTAATAGAATGTCATTTAATATGTTAGGTAAGAAAATATATGAAAATAAACGGCTTATATATGCTTAAATTAGTTGAAATGAATATGAATTAGTTAAATATGGATGACTGGGGGGGGGGGGGGGGGGGGGGTAAAAAAGGATAAGTATCGGTTGAAAATGGTTATAATGTTATGAGATGTTATGTGTTTGAAGGACAAATTTAAAGCTATACACTTCAAAATGTGTGATAAATGAAATGCAAAAAGTATAATTTCCTCAAATCGCAACTATCTCTAAATTCAAATAGTTGGTTACATACTATCAATGGTCAAATAACTTTTGCCGTAAAAAGTGAAACCTATTTATGCTAAAATAACCGTGTCCTCAAAAGATCTATCTTTTCTCATCACCATTAGGTTTCAAGATCCCATCATCTATATAAATGTCGAACATCCTCACATATTCCAAGCATTATTGAAGTCTTTCTCAAAAGCAAAAAAAAAAAAGAAAAAAGAAAAAGGATTAAAAGAAAATAAACTCAAATCCAAAAAAAAAATGGAGTCCAAAAAATTCATCTTTCTTCTTTTGGTGTCCTCTCTACTCTTTTCCATGACAGAGTGTCAAATATTTTCCGGTTCACCTTCCTCAATGTCATTTTCTTCTATGTCATCAGATTCACCTTCGGGATCTCCATCGTCGTCTCCCTCGTCCTCACCGGTGGCTTCAACCATGGAAGAAGGAGCTGCCGCGGCAACCTCGGCATATGAGAAATTGAAAAACAAAATAACATCCTAATTTTTTTTCCTACAATTTTAAAGGCACTCCATAATAATGGCTTTATTATTATTTTTTGTGGAGAGGCAGAAATATGCACGGGCATTTCTGCTATCTCTTTTTTGAATGGTCAGAAACTGTTTTTTTTAAACTTATAGTTATAGTTTCGTGAATAAGAGCAATAATTCCCTTGTATTAAAAATAAATTCATAATAAGTTTGTGATAGTTTTGATTTTATAGTTTGTGAAAGGGGATGGCTACCTCCTGTTGTGCTAGCCCACGTGCATGGTCTTTTAGGCCATCATGAATGTATGCTCTCCATATATACTCGTAATCAATCTAATAATTGTCGTTGTTATTACTTAAATTATATATTATTACCTTTATACTTCGTATTACTTTAATTTTTTTTTTAAATATTACAAAAATAAAATTTATTTATAGAAATAAAATTTATTTACGCTTAAGTTTAAAAAACAAGCATGGGTTACTATAAGTCTATAACTAAAATACTACTACGGTCATTAGTCATATTTTGTACATAATATTATTTCTATAATTACGATTAAAATAAAGATTAATCTTTATTTTAATCGTAATTATTTTTACTTAATTATATAAATATGTATTATATTATTATTATAATATAGCCCAGACGGAAGCATCTACTAGATTGGAATATTTCTGTCATTATTCAATTCCAATTCCAATTGGTTCTAACTCTTCTAGCTTTGTGTAGGAGTTGAAGGAATTATAATTGGGAAATTTTCACAAGTAGACAAAAAATGAAAATAATATTACATTTTTCACTTTTCAAAATTGTTTTTAAAAATGACTAGACAAATTTTTCTTTCACAAATAGACTTCACGCGTTGAACTCCAATTATACGAATCTTCACTTCTTAAGACCCCAGTTAATTAGATTGCCGAAGATCAATTGACCTTAATGCCATGTTGATATGCAAAATACTACTCCGCATCTCATAACTTATTCAAGTATGAGAACACATAAAAGAGAAAATTGCCATGGCCAAGACAAAAACATAGGTTTTTTCTCAAAATAGGACTCAATATTTGGTTTTCCCTAAATAGGACTAACCATTCCATTTTTACACCTAATTGAATTAATTAACTAATTAACTCAATTAATTGCCCCCCCTAGTTTTCTTGCAAAACCAAGGCAGTTCGTCGGTGGCGGGGCAGTCCGGTGGTGTCGGCAGCTTAGCGGTAGTGGCGGCGGATTCCGGCGACGGCGGCGGCAAGAAAATAATAGAAATTAGATAGACAATAAATAGATAATAAGTAGACAATATATAAACAATAAATTCTGATAAACACCATTGCCGCAATCCCGCAACCATGACCCTGCCCTACCTCAGGCCCGCTAGATCTAAAAATGTTGAGGCGACCATCAAGGTGGCATAGAGGAGGAGTTGCGACCTCACAAAGACAAGATGCTGGCGGATCTGGATGGAGATTAAAGACGGGGGACGAGGCTTGAAGATGGAGGCGGCTTGGCTGGCGGATTTGGGCGGAGCGTGAAGACAGATTGAAGACAGGGACTGATGCAAAAGGTTTCATAGCTAGTGCGGATCAATCGGGCGGCGGCGGTGGTGGTGTGTGGCGGCGGCGGTAGAATCTGTCAGTCTGCCAGATTTTTTTTTGGAATTTTCCAGCGACAGCGACGGCGGCCGGCTGCGGTGGTCGTAGGTCTAGCGGCAGGCGGCTGGCAGCAGGCAGCAGTCCATGGGCAGCAGTGGAGGTATTTTGGTCCAATCACACATAAAAAGTCATATTTAAGAATGTTTAAACTAATTGGTCCTATTTCGAGAAAAAAACCATGTTTTGATACTATTAAGGTAAATCTCCCCACATAAAATTCTAAATATAAATTTGATTTTATATATCAAATTCATCGGTTCGCTAAAAGAAAGTTTTAGAGAACAGATAAATTTTAAATCTTAAGAAGTATAAATAAAATAAAATGGATTTTTTGAACATATTAAATCTTTTTAAAGAGTAGGAACTTTTTTTTGATAACTCTAGTTGCTCACGGATAGTTGGTGTCACTGACTCACTGTTGATCTCTTTAAATTTGTTGTAACGATCCGAATCTATTACTTTAAGCGATTTTTCATTTTAAAGAGTAGAAACTTTAAAACAAAATTCTAAAATATTCTAAAAGACAAATAAACTAATTAATAAATAAAAATCATAAATTAAGAAAAAACATACAAAAGGGAGAAAATAAAAAATAAATTATCAAATATTCAAAAAATATGAAAAAGAGTGTGAATCGATATTTGAAAAATTATCGAAAATAAAAATATGAAAAACTTAAGACAAGATAAATTCCTAAAATTTGTACAACCTTAAAACTTTTGAATTTTTTGGTTTTAAGACATTAAAACATCTCAAATTAATATATAAAGTTTGAAAGCATTAAAACATTCCATTAACTTTAAAAAAGGAAAATAAAATAAAATAAAATTAAAAATAAAATTTCTCGGAATTTTTAAAATCAGAAAACTGATGTAAAATAAAATACATGTAAAACATAATAAACCCCAAAATAAAAATGTAAAAAACCAAAATAATGAAAATGTCAAAAAATGAAAAATATAATATTTTAATTTTTGAAATTCAATATTTTAAAATTAATAATAAATGATGGATAGTCTACCCGGGGGTATATATCCGAAGGGTTATTACGGGGAATAACTTAGAGAGAAGTCAGAGCAAGTAAGTAAAAGTAGAGAGAGAGTGTATTCAGTATGAATGTCGTTTTCAGCGTGGTTACAAATGAGGAAATGGGGTGCTATTTATAGTAGCAATAAATGCCGGGCAGGGACACGTGTCAAGCGCTCATTGGCCGAGGGGTCACCTCAACTGGTTGGCGCTGACAGCCGCATGTGGCCGCATTTAATGCGGCTGTTGGATGGGACGTCTATGCGGGGTACGGTGATCTGTGCACATGTGAGGCGGATATCTTGTCGAGTGAGATGCCTTCGGCTATAGAGCAGTAGTCGAGGGCTCTTCCACCCGATGGCACCCTGGTGCCGAGGGCTCACAATGCCGAGGGCTACTGTTTTCGCCGTTTTCTCCCAGTTTCTTAATTTGCTTGAGAAACCCGTTCTGTGAGAAATTGGAGCCTTCGGCCAGGGGGCCGAAGACACCCCTGGCGCGTAGTGCGGACTGCTTGGTACTCTGGGCGCTGTGATTTGGGCCTGTTGGGCCTTTTGGGCCTTCGCTGGAGTAGTAGGAGTCTGTGGGCCGGGGGTTCCCGGGCCATATACTCCATCAGGAGTCCCTCACTCCTTTTGCCGAAAGGTACTTGAGGGGAAAGGAGTAATTTGTGCTTGCCCCTTGATGTTGTCCCGTCGTGATCTCTGAAGTTGGTGAGGAGTTGTTGCTTTTATGTCCCTGCCGAAGGCAGTCCCTCAGTTACCCACATGTCGGGACTTGAGGGCTTGCTCTGTTGTTTGTTGGAATTTCTACACCTTTTGTAATTTAATGATTTTCCCAAGGGGGTCCTCCAGTCCCCCACTCCTTGAGGCACTTGTAAAGTGGTGAAAAGGAGTAGAGTAGTTGCGTTGCTGTTGTGGGCCGAAGGCTGACACTTTTCGTTTCATTTTGGGGGGATGCCTCGTTAAAAACCTCATTAGGAAAAACCCTGGGGGAAAAAATCCTAATGAGGGAAAAAGAGTGCACCGAATTCCCCCAATGATGAATCGAAAATGTCAAACCTTGGTCAAAAATGGAGAATACGGTAATGCCGAAGGCTCTTCTTTTCCTGAGGGCTCATGTATTGATCAGCCGAAGGCTTGCTGTTGATATCCTGGGGGTGCCGAAGGGGAGCCCCTCAATCCGGGGATCGAGGGCCTGCCGGATGAGGGCAGTAATTTAACTGTCGCCGGGGGGTCCACTGTTTGTTGATTAGTTGGTGATGAAGATACCCGAGGGCTCCCATTACCTGTGTGCCACGGGCTCCCATTCCCCGGGGGCTACCCGGTTTTGCAGCGCTGAGGGGGAATCCCCGAAGGGTGCCCTGATATGAAGCCCTGGGTTTCTGAGGGAGTGATCCCGAAGGCGTCTGTTATGTGCTGTGTGGGGCACAATCCGGGGGCACTTCTGAGTGAGTGTACCCGGAGGCTATCCTTGATGAAGTGGAGTGAAGTAGAAAACCCGGGGGCTTCCAGAATATAGCCGTTGGAAATATAGCCGTTGGAATATGTAACGACAGGCTATAGTCGTTGGGGGGTGGTACACGCGGCGTGTGATGGCTGGCTGTTCGCGGGCGGCGTCACCGGTTGGGTGAAACGGCGGTGTGTAATGATGGCGGTCCGTCCGGAGGCCCGGTTTCCGGGCCCAAGCCCGGATTCCAGCGCCTATAAATACCCCAAGGCCAGAGCCATTCCCGCTGTGCGAACTCAGTTGTCTTAGCGAAGCTCTCCCAAAAAATCTAGTGAGAGAAACTCAAGCCTTCGGTCCTAACTCAGCTTTCGAGGTCAGTGCTCCCTGCCTTTCTCCTTCTAGTATAGCTGTACATTGCGCCCTCGGGTTAGGAGATAGAATTCACTAGAAACCTTAGTTCCCCCGAACCCTCGAGCTAGAGTTAGAATGTCGTCCCAGAGTGACTCTCAGGACATCTCGAGGGAGCCTTCGGTAGAGATGGAGACATGCTCAGATGTGGAGTCTTCGAGTGTGGAGTCCTCGGCAGGTGGTGATGCCGCAGTGGCCATGGAAGTGGAGAAGGACCTCCAGGCCGAAGTCGAAGCCGAGGGCTTCGAGCAAGAAAACGAGGATGAAGAGCTCGCCCTCGCCGTGCAAACCGCCGAGCAGGAAGAGGAGAGGGAGAGGCTGAAGGTGACGGTTGCCATTCCTCCCCCCGGGGTGCCGGGGAAGACAGCTCCTCTCGGCCATTGGACCCGACGCCCATAAGTGTGGCTCCCGGGAAGAAACACAAGACGAAGGCGGCCCCGAGGAAGAAGCAAGCGGCAGTGGATGCCGGGCGGCCGGTGGGCATACCCGAGGGCCATTCGTTCCTGAATACTGCCGCTCTGGAGCTGAAGACGAAGGCATCCCCGGCAGAATACCAGTCCACCCAAATGCTGGTCGGACCTTCGGCGTGCGTGGTGGAGCCCAGGGCGGATGATTTGCTGCGATACGCGCCCGAGGGGTGCTTTGCTGCTCACACCCTCTCGGTGGAGATGGGGCTCCGGTTCCCGCTCCATCCTTTTCTCTTGGAGTATCTAAGATTTGTGGGGTTGGCCCCTTGCCAGCTAACGCCCAACAGCCACTCCTATGTGGCCGGCTTCCTCTCCTTGTGTCAGAGCCGGGGGGTCGAGCCCACACTCGATCAATTATTCATGTCCTT